AAAAAAAACTTTTGACCCTGTCTCCCCTTAAAAAAAAAAAAAAAAAAAAAAAGCAGTAAGGTGAAAGAGGTTTTTTGACAGAAGGGACATACAGAGCCTCCTGTGCCATACAACTCTATTCTACATTTTTTATAGTGTAAGTCCAGCTTTAAGGAAATCATTTTAGCCAGATCTGGGAAGGATTCCTCATCTGTGTCCATACACAATCACCAACCTACCTCCTCTTGGACATGTTGTAAAACCTGTGCAGATCACTGGCACCCCCCTCTATAAAAAGAAAGTCTGGCCGTGTCTAGCCAAACTTCTCCTCCCCACTCCATTCACTTGAACACACGCTTTCAGAATTGTGACATTACCCATTTACTCGAGGGTGGAGAGATTGCTTACTGGCCCTGTGCCTAAAGGTTGGGGACATTGTTTCTTTGACATGGTCCTCAAGGTGGGGACATTGCTTCCCGGACTTGGTGCCTAAGGCGGTGTCATTTCTCTGGTGCCCAAGGGAGGTGACATTGCTTTCTAGCCCTTGTGCCTCAGGATAGGGATGTTTTTTTCCTGGCCCCAGTGCCTAAAGGTTGGGGATATTGCTTCCTAGCCCTGGTCCACAAGGTGGCTACATAGCTTCCTGGCCGTGGTGCCCAATGTAGGTGACAATACTTCCAGGTGCCCGAGGGAGCTGACATTGCTTTATGACTCTTGTGCTTGAGGATGGTGATATTCTTTTCCTGGCCTTGGTGTCTGACATAGGTGGTATTACGTCCTGGTCCCGAGGAAGGTGACATTGCTTTCTGGCCCTTGTGCCTGAGGATGGTGATATTCTTCTCCTGGCCTTGGTGTCTGACGTAGGTGGCATTACGTCCTGGTGCCCGAAAGAGGTGACATTGCTTTCTGGCCCTTGTGCCTGAGGATGGTGATATTTTTTTCCTGGCCTTGGTGCCTGATGTAGGTGGCATTACGTGCTGGTGCCCGAGGGAGGTTGCGTTGTAAGTGCTCCTAAGCTCTGAGCACCTTCATACTTAATTGTTTAGCAAGTTATCCAACATATCTAAACATCTGATCAAACACTTGA